GCCTCCCAGCAGCCCCCCCGAGACCACCGTCACGTCTCGGGGGCAGGCGGAGGAAGAGTCTCCTCCGCAGGAGGAGGCGGTCGCCGTGGGGGAGACAGCGCAGGGGTCTGTGTCCACGACTGGGCCGGATTGAAACGCAGCTGCAGAGTTGGGAGAAAGGACCGTCTTCCCGATTTTTGGCTCTAAAGAGTCAGTACCAACCTGGCAGGCTGGTACTGGAATTCGTGCAATGCCACCACTGGACAGAAAGAAGCTCCCAAGATGTTGCCAAAATTGCAGAATCTTTCTCTCCCTCTTTCTCTCACCCACCCGCCCACACCCAGAGTGTTAAAAGTTGTTTTTCTCCCTTACTCCTCCTCCTCCTCCTGGAGAAAAACGGAACAACTGCGTCAATCAACTTCTTATTCAGGGATCGACAGGATTTTAAATTTTTCTAATGTTCCACAGTGATCTGGGACGAGCAGTCATTTGTATTTCCCGACGGCGCTTTGGCCCAGCAGGTCGGTCCCGCGGGGCTGCTCCTCGCCACGTCTGCTGGTCCAGCTCGAGGGGAGAGCAGGGACGAGGTGCCGTTGCCTTCCTCCCTTCTCCAGGTAGCTGCCTCCTTAAAGAAAATGAGAAGACTCTTCTGGTGGGTCCTGCCGTGCCCGAGCATATTTATCCGTTTTATTTTTGGTGTGTCTGTTTTTACCGTTTTTACTTAAACTCTTGATTTTAGGGCTCTTGGTTTGCCCATCCCAGGCGTGCGGCCTCAAGGCCCCTTTTTAAAAGCGGGCACGGCTAGAAAGCGATATCCTAGAGGTCAGCAACACTTGAAGCACTTCAGCTACTGGAAGTGAAATGTAGCAGCTGTGAGGTTTGCATGAGACTTTGATGAGAAGGGTTGGAGGGGTCTCTGGGAGGAGATGTCCTTGGCTATTGCTGATCTGGAGAGTTCCAGAGCACTCTGACGCCCCGACCGGTGCGCTGCTCTGCTTCGGGTGCTGCCGAGTGGTAGGAAGAGTTTTTCTGGACTGGCTGAATTGCAGAGTTAGAGGCTGGCTACCAAAGTCATCCTTCACCCCTGCTCCCCCCTCGACTCACACTTGATCTTTTATAACAGCAATATGGTATAAATGAAATGCTATCGTCCCAGATGAGCAATCATGGGTGGTTGCTTTTAAACACGTTTCTACAAACTAGTTTGATAACTTTTTTTATCAATGAAATGCAAAAAGAAAAGAAAACCCTACTTTATTTCCTCATAACGAACGGTTCAGGAAGCCTAACAGTGAATGGTTCCTAGAACAATCACAACTCTGTCCCCTTGCATGGACTTAAACTTTTGTATTCTAAGCAGCTCTGATGTTTAGAGCAAGTTAAGCAAACCTGGAGAGACATGCCTGCCTTGTGTATTGTAGGTGTTTGCACATGCTTACGTGTTTCATAAACAGAAAAGCATGGGACAGGTAGATAAGTGCAAATATCTTGACATCTTTTGAAGAAGTCTTCTAAAAAAATATGCAATACTTTTAAGAGTTTTCTCTGGTTCTGATGCCAAGTTGTTGTTCATGGTGGAGGGGGAAAATGAACGCCAGGTTGCGCAGATTTGGGGTTGGGAGAGGATGTTTGGTTGCAGGAGTTCTCTCAAGGAGGTGTAATGCGTTCCATAAGGAAGGATGAAGTTTGGATCCTTAAGGTGATGGGAGGAACAATGAAACATTGGAAAAGGAACACACTGCATCTTGCTTTGGCAGATCAAGCCAGGCAGTGAGAGTGTGGGCTTGGTGGGCAAGAGACTTGCCAAGTGAAAATAAAGCTTGCCCTGCAGTCTGACTGCACAGTTTGGGGCACGTGGAATCATCTCCAGCCCTTGCTTTCCCCACCTGCAAATTGAGACTTGGGATCATTTTCCTGCCCCAGGAGAATCTGGAGATGGGTGATGTATTCTTGCCTCACTTGATGTGTTTTTCTCAGTGAGGGGTCTCACTGTTCCTCCCACATCTCTCTGAAAAATGCAGACGTGGCTCTAATGTGCTTTTGGAGGGGGGGTGGCAGGTAAGGAATGGGCTTGGTGCCAGGGTCGTGTGGAAGGGGGATGTGGTCCTCAGAGAGGAACCTTTGCAGGTGTTCTGAGCTGAGCATATGCAAAGTACAATTTCATTGACCATTTCAAAGAGGAAAACTTGTATTTCACCTCCATTTTTCTTCTGTCCCTTCTTCCTCCTCCCCTGTCAAGTGCATCATGATACAGTGAATGATTTTCGAAGCAGCCACCCGAGGGGCCAGCCCCACTGAGTTTCCTGTCGAAGGTCAAACAGGACTGTACTGAAACAGTAGGGTTGCCAGAGAGCAGTCACAGAAGATGAGAGATAGGAGGGTGGCTAAGGTAGGTTTCATGGCAGTCAAGGTGTGGGGAGGAGTGGAGATGTGCAGAGTTTGCTGCTTTAGTCATAGCTTTTGAAGTTACCAAAAATCAAAAAGTTTAAAACTTTGAAATCCTATCCTGTTCACACTAGAGAGCATCAAAAGTTACTTTTAGTTGCTTAAAAGATTTTAAGTGTTTAAAAATAGAACTTTTAAAAGAATGCTACCAAACTATAAAAACATAAAATTATTTATATACATATATTATATATAAATATAGTGGGAAGGTTTCCCTACTAAGCTTGCTGTGAAGAGAAGGGTGAAGGTGCAGTAACTGCTATACAAGCAACACTTTCCTGAAACAGATGGCAACCCATCCATCAAAGCATAGTGATGAAGGGCTGAGATAAAAGGGTGAATGCCTTCATTTGTATGGCATAGCTGTGAGTTTCTTCAGAAGGTTTTTGTTTTACTGTCACGATACTGTGAATGGAGGAGCATCCTAACAGTCCGGGATGCCAGTGGTGCGCCCTGCTTTGCTGATTCTCTTACTTCCAATAGGCCTGGTGGAAATCATGAAGTTGGTTCTTCATATCATACTAGGCTAGTCTGAAAACAAACCTTGTGAAAGGTTCTTTTTCTTTTTTTCCTCGTTTATGTTTATTTGTTTTTTGGTGCAGAGGTTGCCACTGTATAAACAGTCATTTCTGATTGCATGCAAAAGAGCAAATATTCTTGCCCGGGCCTCGCTGAGGTGAAGTTTATAGCTTGTAGCTAGAGTCAGTATAAGGTATGGTAGTGGGAATCATTTTAATATTATTTCTGTACATTTAATGGATGTGTATGTGTATGTATGTGTGGGAATCATGGTGTGTCTAATGTTTTCTTGAACAGTGCTGAAAGCAGCTTAGGCCCATCCGCACGAGAGGATGGAACCAGTTCAGAGGAAGCATTTATTGACCTGTTCTTCCAGTGGTTGTTTCCTCGGTGCAGATGCGGCCAAGGTTCGAGGAGAAAAGGGGTTGTAGGTTGTATACGGTATGGAAAAACCTCATGTGAGTTTTCTGGCAGTGGTGTAGCTACGTGGAGCAGCTTTTTGTAGCAGAGCAATAGCATCTTTTGTTGCCTCTCCGTTGCCAACCCCTGTAGCTCTTGTCGGTTGCACCGAAGCTGTGGAGAATCAGATGCCAACTTCCCAAGTGCGAACGCTTCTGTGATGGGGTGAGGCTTTGCACTTCCATGTCTAGCTGCAGCTTTTTCCCCTCTGCCAAAACTGTGATTTCAACTGTGATTTAAGGAGGATGTGAAGAGAACTCTGTCATATTTTAATACCTCTGTATGTAACATTTCTGTCCACTTCTGAGTTAGGGCTTACTAACCCACTTGTTTGCTTGCCTCAGGCAACAGGGGGAACACACTCTGTTTCTGCAGTTTTCTTTCTCAGAGGAGGAACACATTTCTTAATTCTTTGCTGTGGCAGAGAAATCTTCCAAATGTGAAGTGTTGTGGTTATCTCCTTGAGCCTGCAGAAAGCCCCGGTGCCAAAGTCACAGCAGAGTGACACAATGGTTGCCGTGGCCATTCCCTGCTGCTGCCAGGTTCCCTGTGAAGAGCTGTGAAAATAACCAGAATTGTGTTAACACTGTGCTGCTGCTACTGCTGCTGCTTTTGGGAAAAGCTAAACCTCTTCCTCTTGGGAGAATGAGTGATGTGAGGCTGGCAGAGGGAAAAAGCAGGTGGTCTTTTTGCTGTCTCGCAAAGGGAGGATGTGAAAGCAAACCATGCTTCTCATTTCCAGGGGCTAGATGGAGAGGGATACATGAGGAGGCTTTATGAAGTGTGAGTTTGTAATAGGAGGCTGAGAACACACTTGGAGCCACTTAATAAGATCCAGGGATGTCAGCCTGGTAGGGGACAGAGCAGCCGATGGGCAATCCCTCGCTTGTCCTCCCAGCATTGTCCAGCCCATCATGTTCAGTCCTTTGCCTCACCTACATCTTCTCCACAATATTTTCAAGCTGTGATCTGTCTCATTTAACTTGCAGGAGTTTGGGTGGCTGAAGGGCAGGAAGAATAGAAAGTGTTTTGTGTCTCTGCTGCTGTTTTTTCAATCCAACCAAGGTTGGTGACAACTGACTGTTCCCATCTGAGAGCTATTCAGAGCTGGAATTGCATTTGGAACATGTTGCCATCTTGCTGGAAAGCATAGCAGGGCAGGCTTGCTGCTGCCTTTGGGTGATTCAGCCCTGAGGATTCATTGGCAAGAGCAGAGTTGTAGCTTTTATTTGCTGCTGACTTCATCTCGCCCACAGAACCCAAGGTATAAATAGAAAGACAGCTGAAAAGGTGCAGTTTGTTTGGGTAAGAAGGTAGCTTGTGAGGTAGACTGAGTCGTGCATCTTTAACCCCAACAAAAATTAGCACCCCTTTAACTTACTATTTAAACTTTAAAATTCTCTTTGATCCATGACATGCCAGTCAATTAAGCTGTACCAGCACCCAAGTGTTTCTGCACGTTACTGACACCAAATGCTATTCTTGCTTTGTTGGAAATATTTTGGGGATGGGAAAAATCAAGGAGCTGTAATTTGGGAATCTTCTAATTTTTTACAGGGTTTGGGCTCCAGGTTTCCCCTGGGGGCTGAGCCCATAGCCAGGACTGCAGTCAGAAAGCCTGGGTCTTGTGAGGGGGCTGCCCCTGACCCTGGGCACAGCCTCGTCTGGCAGTAACGATGTCCTCAGGGACAAGCATCACTTCTGCCATGAGGTGACATCTGTGCACAGAGC